GAATAAAAAATAAATTAAAAACTTTTTTTAATATCGAAATTAATTATCAATAATTAGTTAATAATGAAATAAATAAAATATATATTTATCTATTTTAAATTTTTAAAGCAAAAAAACAATTATATTAAATAATAAATATAATAAAAATAAAAATAAAATATATTATATAAACAAAACATTTGTATATTAAATGAAATATTATATAATAGATATTAATATATATAATCAATTTATTAATTATACATATACCTTTAAAATTCAAAAATAACAAATAAAAATTAAACTTAAGTTTTTCATATATAAAATTATATTATATATAACTATCAAGAAAATTTAATCTTTAATATTTTAAAATTATTTAAAATAAAAATAATCAATAAAATATTTTTTTATATATAAATTAATAATAAAATATATATTTTTATATATAAATAGTAAATTAAATTTATTTATTCTATTTACAAAAGAAAATTAGATTAAATTTTTATAAATTTTAAAAATAGAAAAGCTATATATTTTATATATAGATATATTTCAATAAAAATAAAATATATAATAATATTTTTTAAATTATATATTATATATTATTTATAAATACAATTAGCATTTTTTATACATAAATTTTTTTCCAAATTTAATTATATATATAATAATTTGTCATAAAATTTTTTATTTTTTATTTTTTATTATATATTATTAATTTTTATTAATTTAAATCAGTAAATAACATAATATAAAATAAACTATGGCATAATGATATTATAAAATATATGTTTATATATTTTTATAACTATTTGCTATTTATTTCATTATTTTTTTAAAATTATTTTATTTATTAGTCTTTTTTTTCGAAATAAAAAATTAATAAATATATTTTTCTTTAGTAATCTAAAAAAATATAATGAATAAATAATATGGTAATAAAAATCTTTAAATAAAATTATAATTTTAATAAAAATATATTTTTTAGTTGATTTTTATTCGCCATTTGTGTATACAGCATTATAGGGAATATTCATTTCAGGAATAATCTATAATTTCTAACTATTATTAAATACAAATTATATATTTTCATTTATATTTTGGGTTTTATTTTCAATCACATTTATTTTTTACATGATATTGCATTTTAGTGATGTAAAAAATACATATATAAAATATAAAATATTAAAATGCTTTTTTTTAAAAAAAAAGCCTGGCTATATAAAACTAAATGAAATAAATTCAAATAATGTAAAAAATATAAAGTTTTTTAATATATGAACAAAAAATATATAGCAATAAATAATATAAGACCCAAAATTTGGTTTTTCATTTAATGTATTTAATAAAATGACATCAAAAGATTATATAAGCTAACAACCAAATCAATATATACAAGAAAAAATATAAATATAGGAAAATAAAGATTAAAAAAATTAAAATAGGATAAAAAAAAGTAAAAATAAAAAGACAATTTTTTTTTTCTTCTTTTTTAAAATAAAATAAAAAATAAGAATATATAAAATCTTAAATTGAAAATTTTGATCTATAACCAAATAATAATGAAAATTAATAAAATATTGAACAAAATGCTGTTTAATGCGAATTATCTGTTGATTAAGATTAACTTAAGAAAATTAAGAACAATTTAACTTCGAAGAACAATAAAACATGAAGGAAATGATTAAATTGTTATTATGGAATTAAATAAAGAATTTAATGATTCGAAAAGTTAGCCTCCTGAATAATAAAACCAAATAAATTGATAAATAAAAAGAGAAGTCGAAATAACAATCTAATTTGAAGAAAGAAGCACCAAAGAGACTCAAGAATAGTTAACAACTTGCGTAGTTTAAAATAAAAAAGAAGGTAAAAATGAAGTAATTAATAATGGTTTATAGGAAATTTAAAAAAATGATTTTTAAATTTATTATGGAAAAAAGATTTAATTAAAAATAACAATAATAATTAAACTTAATAAGCATAAATGATAACTGAAAATAGTATTATTTAATTAGATTTTTTTTATTTAAAAATTATAAATAGGATATAAATATCGCAAAAAGTAATAGAAATATGGTAAATTAAGATAATACAGTTTTAAATATTAAAAATTTAAAGCAGAAAAACAATACATTCTAAAGCATTTAATCTGTATAATAATAAAAAATAGAAGTATAGAAGGAAGGAAATAAAGAAAACATACATGAAATACCTTTTATAGAAAAAAGATACTGCAATATATGTTTCATTGAAATGCCTATAAGGGCTAAACATTGTAAAGACTGTAAAAAATGTGTAGCTTAATTTGACCATCATTGTCCATGGGTAGGAAATTGTATAGGTGGAAAAAATAAATGTATTTTTTATTGGTTTTTAATATTTTAATAATCTGAAATTATATATGGATTACTTTTTGTAAAAATAAAAGAATAGATTTACAAAAATAAAATTTTTAAATTAGATTTTTTCTTGTGTTAAAAACTATAGTATAGAAATTTTTGAAAGAGAATATGTTTCTTTAATTATATTAATAGTTTTTCTTGTTTTTATTTTTATATTTGTATTTGTTCTTTTTGCTTTTCAAACTTATATCGGTCTAAAGAATATTACTACATGTAAATATTTATTTTTTGTATATAAAAAAATTTTAAAAGGGGAGTATGTAAGTTGGATTAATATTAGCTATTTATAAGATATTCCAAGGTCTTTTGGTTCACCTTTTTCTTAAGGGATTTATAAAAATATAAAAAATTATTGCACCTGTAGATTACTTAAAAAAAAAATTACTGAATAATAATATTTTAGGTATCCAAATAAAAGCTAATAAACATAATAATAAAATTAATGAATAAAATATTAAAAAAAAAAAATTATTTTTTCTATATATATATATAATAAAATTATATATATATTTTTTTTTCTTCATATTAAACAATATATAGAGATAAATTAATATATATATATATATAGATATATATGTATATATATATATATATTTATATATATATAATTTTATTTTTATTTATTTTTAAAATAAAAAAAATGTTCATTCCGAGGTTTGAACTCGGGACCTTTCGCGTGTAAAGCGAACGTGATAACCACTACACTAAACGAACTTTTACATTAAATAATGATATAAATAAATATGTAAAAGAGTGTAAAGAACATCTTTTTATATAAAAAAAAAATAAGTTAATTTATTTTATATTTAAATTTTTTTTTAAAAATATTTTTTAAAATAAAATAAAAATAAAAATAAATAAAAATATTTTTTAATAAAATATTATAATATAAAATAAATATTTTTTTTTTTTTTTTTTTTCTCATTTTTTTAATTAAACTCTTTCCTTATTAATACTAAAAGAAGTATCTTCTATAATAATTCTTAAATCTTTTCTCCTGTGTTTATAAATTCTCTATGTATCTTTTGATTTGTTAGTAATTTAGTTAGTTTGTTGTTCTTTTACAATATCTCCTTCATTTACATTAATATTTTAAGCATAATTTTGATTCTTAATTTCTTATTATTATTAAAGAGCATAATTTTAATTTTAAGCATCAACTAATTATATAGTATCTCCTTTATTTTGTTAAATGATTTTAAATTTAATGTATTTAAATATACAATAAGCAATTATTAAAATAAAACAAATAATAGCAACTATAATAAGAATTGTGAAAATAATTTAATTATTTTATTCATTATTATTATTTTAGAAAGGGAAAAGTACTCTTTTTTATAAAGAATTTTCTTCATTTTTTTCAGAAAAACTTATTTAATAAGATATTTAAGAATATTCTTATACTTTTAAAAAAATAAAAATTCCTTAATTTTATTCATTTAAAACTTAAAATTCTTTTTATTTTTTTAGACATATTTATTCAGAAAAACATACATTTATTTCTTTTATATTCTCAGAGTTGAAATTAAAATTTATTCTTTCATATTCAAAATTGTTAAAATATAAAATAACTTCTTCTTTATTTTAAAATTACAATTAGTTTTAATAAATATTCTACTCTAAATTAATATTTTAATCTAAAAATTTACTTCTAAATATTATACTGCAATCTTTACATTAAATATAACATTCAGCAGTTAATTTTTCTTATTTTTATAAAAACTTAATATCTAAATCTAAATAATAATAAAGAAGCCCATTTTTCTAAACTAAAAAATATTAAGTTAAATAAAGTTTTTTTTATGTATTCATGTTGATTGTATAAAATTAAATGTTATTTATTTTATATTATACATTGTTTCCAAAATCAAGCTAAAATTCAATTAGAAATCTGTTTTTTAAATTCAATTATAAATCTGAATTTAAATCTAATATAATTTCAAATTTATTTGATAAAATAATGTATTCTTCTTAAATTTTTGCTCCAAAAAAAGCGCTTTTCTTATAATATTATTATTATATATCTTATATAGGTAAATTTGAATTTGGAAAATCTTAATTTAATTTTAAATTTTAAGTTTTATTTTACATTTCGACATGATTTTTTTAATTATTAGTAAGCGCCTATCTTTATTATAAGGTTAAACATATAAATAATAATAATTTAATTTTTGTAAATAAAAATTCATTTTATTATTTGTTTTTTTATTATATATGTTATTTGTAAATAAATAATTTAATAATATTTATCTTTTTTATATTTTATGTTATTAAATAAACATTTTTTTAATTAATTTTATATCATTTATATAAAATATATTATTTATTATCATATTTTTTCATGAATTTATGGTTTTTAATATTAGATATATATATTTTTAATAATTCATTATTAAAACTCTAATTTATTTAAATAAAATAAAATATATTTGTAATAATCTTATATACATATATATTTATTGTTGATATACTCTTTTTACTCCCCCCTAATATATTTATTTTTATGAATTATTAAGGCTTTTTACGACAAATTTGTTTTAAAAATTAGTTCAAATTCAAAAAAACTACAAAAAGATGTATTAAATATATAAATTTTTTTAAAATATAAAAAAATCATTAAAAGTTTCTTGTATAAGGTACAGTTGTTTTTTCATATTTATTAGGATATATACTAAAACTTAAGCTATTTATTATTTCTTATTTAATATCTTTACTATCTAATAAAAAATAAAAATAAAATAAATAAATATTAATTTTCTTATAAAATAAACCTTTAATAGGTGGATAAACGACTCCTAATTCAGTATTCATACAATAAATTTGCGAATAATTTTTTTCATATCGACCCCAAGCTGCACCAGTAAAATTATGGCTTAATATAAATATAAAAAAAAATATAAATAAAAAAAAGCTACCTTCCAACATATATAAGAGAATCATCCGAAATCTAATCTTCTTTATCATTTACGACCATAACTTTTAAATGAGGAATAACTCCTGAATGATAAAAGTAACCTTTAGGACATTCAAACTAATAGAAAACATCTTTAATAAACTTCTCGTTTGAATAATATTTCTCATTTAAAATAACAGGGCTAGCATATTCAATGCCATACAAAGTATCTTGACATATATACTTTTTAGTTGGGAAAATAACTTTAAATTAATTCTAAATATCCTTTATGTTTTCTTTACTATTTTTTTGAAAATCACATGAAGCCAAATTTACACTTTTATAAAATTCGTTTAAAAATTTATTATCTATGTTTCCCAAAGTAGAACTCTCATAAGTAATAATTTTTTATTTATTTTACTATCCAAAAGCATTTATAATTGCATTTAATTTTCCAAGCCCATGTTTTTAAATATTTAAATGCCTTCCAGGTACATTACTCAATAAAATAATTTTAACTTCACTATAATCATACTCTTCTAAATCAATTTTAAGCAAATTCTAATATTTAACATTATCAGGCATCATTCTATTCACAATATCAATTAAAGTATTTGAAAAATCCCCTTCGAAATCCCATTATTATTGATTTTTTTCTTTTTAAGCATTTTATTATTTTTTCAAAGGAAAATCTTAATACCATAAACAATTACTCCATACAGACCAATCACAAATATGTAAATTACCACTTCCAACAACTACTCTTAAAAATTCGTTAAATTTTATCAACCATAATTTTGGATGAAAAGCACCTCCCCAACTTACACTAGCATCTTTTGGAGGATGAATTAAAGTCCAGTTTTTAAAACCTTCATATTCATAAATTATATTTTTTAAGTTTTTTTCTTCTGAGCTTTTATCGTTTGCAAGAACAAACTATATATGTAATGTACATTTATTTTTTTTCAATTTTTTTTTTTTTTTTTTTACATATTTTCCAGACTCTATTATAGGTTTTAATAATTGGCTTTCAAATCCGTATGTTGTCATAAAAATAGATTATATTTCTTGCCTTTGAGGAGTTTAATTAAAAACTTTTATTTATTTTTATATATTAATTTTGAAAATAAAAACATTAATAGAATGGGTTCTTAGAAAATATTTCATTAAAATTTATCATATATGGAGTTCTTTCTTCTTTTGGGTACTAACATAAGCCATTTATATAAAATTAACTTTTTTATTCTTTAAATTCAAAATTAAAAGGACTTTTTACTTAGTTATTTTATGGATTTTCTTTAACTTTATCTTATATCTATTCTTATTGGTTTTCTTATGGCTTTTCTTATAATTTTTATTTTTATCTTTCTAAATATAATTATTTATATTGATTATTTATGTCTTCATATATATTTTTTTTATCATCATTATCGGTTTGTTCGAATTATTAAAATGTAGTTTTTTTACTACTTTTTTGCTCACTTTGCTATTTTTAGTTCATTTAATTTTTATAAAGAAAAACTTAAATTTATTAATTTTGCGTTTCTTTTTAAAAATTTATAAAAAAAATATTTTTTTGTTTCTTTATTTTTGCGGGAATTTATATTTAATTTCAAGATAACGTAACATTTTTTGATAAATATTTTAGTTATTAAAATATATATGTATATATGTAAAGATTGATCAGAAAAAAAAATATACTAAGTATACTTAAATAAAAAAAGTATTTTCAACATATATAAATAATTACTATATTATATAAATATTTTGGCTTTATTTAGCTTTTTATTTATTTTTAGATTTATTACTATATAATACGCTATTTTTTATAAATGTAAAAATAAAGAAGTTTTAAATATAAAAATCAGTATTTCAATCACATTAGAAATAAAATGCGTTATACAATAATTATAAAAAAATAAAATAAGTATTTTAATTAATTTTTTAATAGTTAAAAATTAATATTTACATTTTTATTATTTTATTAAATCATAATTTTATTTTATAAATAAAAATATATTAAATTATAATAATTAATTTTTCATTTTACAATTATAAGAATATTAATTAATTCATTATCTTTAAAAAAAAAAATTAAATTTTATAAATATATAATTTTTATAAAAATATTTTTTAGTATTTATAATAAAATAATGTTTAATTATTACTTAATTAAAGTTATCAATTAAAATAATAATGATCATTAAATTTTGTTTAAAATAATTAGATAGAATTTCATAATTATTTAGATTTATATTAAAACTTAAGCTATCCTCTATTTCTTTACTTATTAACTTTCATATCTTATAAAAATACTTAAATTAAAATAATTTTATTATTAAATAAATATTTTATAAGTATATATATTACCCACAATTCACTATTCACATAAAAAGTTTTTAACTTCAAATGGTTTTAAAAAAAAAAAAAAACTTAAAAAAAATATATATCTTCCGAAATAAATAAAAGAAACATTCGATATTTATTTTCTTAATTATTTGTACCATAAACTTTAAATTCGGAATAATTTCCATAATGATAAGCACTAATCTTAAGACATTCGAATTAATATAAAGCACATTTAATAAATTTATCAACTAAATAATATTTTTAATTTAAATTTATTGTTGAGCATATTAAAATCCATATCATAATTCTTAATATATATATATATATTTCTTATTTTGAAAAATTACTTTAAATAAGTTCTGAAAATTTTAACTATTTTATTTTTTTAAAACTCCTTAACTAAATTTATACTTTTATAAAATATATTAGAAATTTTATTATTGATATTTCTCAATTTAAGACTCTTCAAAAGCCCACATAATCCCATTCAGCCTCCCCAAGTATATATTTCAAGTATCCTAATTTCTCCCATATATATTACTTAATAAAATAACCTTAGGCTCACTATAATCTTACTCTTTTAAATCAGTTTTTAATAAAGTTTTTTATAATTTAAATTATAATGTATATTTTATTCATAATATCAATTAAAAGCATTATGAAAATCCGATTATTACTAAATTTTTATTTTTTTCAAGATAATAAACAATTATTTAACACAGACTAATTATATTTGTTTAAATTCCGACTTTTAACAAATACATTTGAAAATTGAATTTTAATAAAAGATATTTGGGATAGAAAGCATCTGCGCATTAAATATATTACACTTTTGGTGAATATATTAAAGTATAATTTTAAATCTTTTGTAAAAAGGTATTGTATAACTATTATATTATTTTTATTAATCTTTGTTATTTATTAATATAATTTTTATATGAGTTTTATTTTTATGATTTTTTTTTAAAATGTCTTTTTAAGTCTATAGTATATTTAAACTATTTTATTTCAAAATAAAAAGATGTCATAAAGATTTATTTTTTTATGTTATTTTTAGGGAAATTTAATAAAGTCTTTTTTTTATTTTATTAAAAATATGTAATAAATATATTTATTAAATTGATTTTTAGTAAAAGTATCAAGAGAAACTATCATAAGAAGAATATAATCCTCTTTTAGGATATTAATTCAAAATATTTATATAAAATCAGTTATTAAATTCATTAAATTATAAACTAATAGGAATTAAAATTTACTTTATGTTATTTTTTAATTTTTCTATAATTAATCTTCTTATATTTTTCGAATTTTTTATTTTTTGTTATATATAAAAATCTAGTTTTTTTAATAATAATATATTATTTATAATAAATATTACATATAATAAATATATATTTTTAATTAAAAAGATTTTATAAAATAAAATATTAAAAACTTATTTAATAGAATAATATTAAAAATAAATTAATTTTGAGGAAAATATAATAAAATAAAATTATTTATCTTTAGCATTTTTTTATTTAAAAAAAATAAATATATTCTAATAATATAAATAAGAATTATTGTTTAAATAAAACATATAAAATATTAAAGAATTAATATTTATATATATTAAATAAAAATAAATATATACCATATTAAATATATTTAATAATATGGATATTTTTTATATTATTATTCTAATTATCGAAAAAAATATATATTTTATTTATATTTATATTTATATTTATATATATATTTATATTTATATATTTATATATAAATATATATTTTTATATATATATTTATTTAAATATAAATATTTTTCTTTCAATATTTAAAAAATATTTTTATATCTAAATATAATTATACATATAAAAAAATATATTTAATATAAAATAATATTATTTTATTTTTAAAAATTTTATTTTATTTAATTAATATATAAAAATAAAAATATATAAATAACATAATTAAAAAAAAATATAAATTAATTTAAAATTAATAATTTATTAATAATAGAATAATCTTAAAATTTTATGATGAATAAATAAACAAATATATATAATTATTTTTCTTTTAAAAATTTAAAAGCCTAAAATATATAAAACAAAAGAAATTATAATCATTTTAATTAGTTTTTTATTTAATATTAATCCATTAATTATAAAAAATACGAATTCGTGCTCTATTTTTATTTAAATTTACTTAATAAATCCCCTTTATTTTCTACCCTCTCTACTAAATAAGAAATAAGCTTTCTTTTGAATTCCGCAAGAATTTTAAATTTATTAAAATTTGCATTCTCTACTTTATTTTCAATTTGTACTCTTTCTTAATCATTAATATTATAATCTTTTAAATCTTCCAAAAAAATATTTTCTAGTGTATTTATATTCTATTTAATTTTATTTACGCTTTTATACTATTATTGTTTTAATTTATCACATTATTTTATAAATTAATCAAAGTTTTCTTTTTCTTGATCTTTTTATGTACTTTTTGATGTATTAAAAAACTTTTAAGTACTATTTTTCTAAGAAAAATTTAAATTTTAGCTTAAAGTTAACTAATAAAATTAAGAATTACTGTTTTAATCATTCGAATTTGTAGAAGTATTCGTAAGTTTAGGATTTGTTTCATAGAATTTTTTCATAAATATGTTTTTTACTATTTTTTATTAAGTATCTTTCTCATATTAAAATTTTTATAATAAATTATTTGTTTAAGCAAATTTTATTATCCTTTTTTTATTAAATACAAGGGTTTTTTTATTTTTATCTCTTACAAATTTTTGAGGATCAATTTATGTATTTTTTACTTTTTTTATGTTAAAATATTTTATTTTATTTAAAAAAATATAAAAAAAAACATATAATAAAAACCTGCATTCAAAAAAGCGGATTTATTATTTTTATCAAATTATTATTCTAATTTTAAAGTTTATTCATTTTTCTTTTTAAAAATTGACATTTTAAGTTTATTTTTTCCTTATTCAGTATTTATAGTATCTTTAGTTTCTTTATAAATTTTAATAATATTTTTCTTTTAGTTCTATTCTTAATCTTCAATAAACTCATCTAAAATATCTAAAGCTTTTACCTTATTTTCAATTTTCGCATTAGGTAACTTAAATTAAATCTAATCTTTTATAATATTAAAACATAACTATATAGAAAATAATAATAATAATAATATATAAAAATATATCAAATATATCAATTATATAAATATATATTTAAATATATATTATATATATTATTTTTTTTAATATATATATCATATAATTATTTTAATTATATTATATTTTAAACATAATTTTATAATATTAATATTAAAAAAATAATAAAAATAATTATAATAATAAATAATATAAAAATATATATATTAAATACTTTCTGGTATATTAAGTACCTTTGCTACATTAAAATTTTTAGATTTGCATACTTTATTCATTTAATCATGAATTTTTTCTAAATCAAAAATATTTTTTTTCTCATTTTTTATTTTTCTTTAAATTTTTGCCATATCTATATTTTTCCCTTTTAGTTCTTAAATTTTATTTTTTAACGAAATTTTATTATAATCAATATAAAGTTCTTATATTTTTTTCTATTATAAATTATTTTATATTATATTATTTAAAATATCGTCTATTTCAGCTCTTTTTTTTTATTTTTATGAAATTCCTCTTTATTATTTAATGTAATAACTGCAAAATCATCTTAAAATTTATTTACTTCCATTTTTTCTAACATTTCTTTATATATTTTATCGTGATATTCATCTAACTCATCCTTTTTAAAAAACTATATATTATTATCTATATCGCCTTCATAATTATTATTATTAGCCGGTATAAACTAATTCTTTCCAACCAAATTAATACCATTCTAAAGCACATTATAATTTATTTTTTTCCCTAATTTATCTCGAGTATTGCCAGTTTTTTTATTTATATATAAAAGCATATTTTTTGTTCTAAATTCATTAAAATTTGAATTATCGGAACGTAATGAATATGGTTATATTGTTTTTTATATTAAATATCCTTAATAACCTTTATTTGAATTATATGCCATTTCTATATTTTTATGGTAATTATTTATTTATATTTAATTTTTTTTATTTATTATTTTATTTTTTAACAAATTTTTTTAAAAAAAACTTATTTATTTTATTGATTTTTTTTTAAAAAAAAAATAAAATAAAAATTCAAATTTTTTTTTATTATTGATAAGTAAAAATTTTATATTAAAAAATGCTTAATATTACACATTTATTACGTATTAACAAAAAATCATTTTCCTATACAGAATTCTTTAAAAAGAACATCTAAAACTTCCTCAACATCAACTCTCCCTGTAATTTTTCCTATACTATTAACTGCATATCTTAACTCTTCGCAAACCAAATCAGCCTGTAAATTATTTTGATTAAAACAAAAAACTTCTAAATGTTTCATACATTTTTCTAACTCAATTCTATGTCTACTTTATGTAATAATAGAATTTTCCTCTATAATATAATCATTTTAAAATTCTATCTTTTTTTATATTGTATTTGATAAAATATCAATTAAATTATTAATATTAGTATTATTTTGAGCGGAAATGTACCCTTAAACAGGAATTTCTTTATCGAAAATTTTAATATAATGAATAATTTTATTTTCCTTTAAATCTATTTTATTTATAAAAGTTAAAACAGTATATTTTTCATTATCTATAATTTAAAAAAGCTACTCATTTTATTATATATTTATCTAATATTTATCATCTATATCTTCTATATCTACAATTAAAATTATTATGTCAGATTCTTTAGCTTATTATCTATAATATATAAATATTTATATGTATATATATATTAATAAATAAAATATATTTAATTATATTTATTATTTTATATATATTACCTTTTATTAATATATATATTTAATATATATATATAAATAATAATAATAAATATAAATAATATATAAATAAATAATTTTTTTTATAATTAAATAAGTAAAAATTTATTATTTTTATACATTGCTCTATTAACACCTTTTTCTTCTATTTTATCTATAGTTGTTCTTATTCCAGCAGTATCATATAAAATAACAGGAAATCCAGAAATATTTAAAACTACAGATAATATATCTCTAGTAGTACCTGGTATTTCACTTACTATAGCAATTTCTTTTTTAGCTAAACAATTCAATAAGGTACTTTTTCCAGAGTTTGGCTTTCCCTGTTTATACATATTTTTAAAATTTAATTTTTTTGTTTAATAACTAACGATTATAGATATTTTGATTCCATCTCTTATAATTTCTCCTTTATTTTTATTATTTAATTAATTCTTTATTTCGTTTAATATTTTTTAAGTTTATTCTTATGTTTAAGATAATATATTAAATTCTACATCATCCTATTAACAAATATATAACATATAACATATAACATATAACATATAACATATAACATATAACATATAACATATAACATATAACATATAACATATAACATATAACATATAAATATTTTAAAACATATATATATATGTATATTATATATATATATATATATATATATATATATATATATAATTATTTTTTATATTATTATTAATATGTAAATACTTAATCAGATTCAAAATCAATAAAAGCTTCTGCATTTGAAAGTGCTTTTATTAATTCGAATCTCCAATTTTCTAATATTTAACTACTTTTTCCTAAAAACTAATTGGTTGATTATTACCTTTATATTTCAGTTTCAGAATTTAATAAATCAGCTAGACCTTCAACTTCCATTAAATCTAATTTATTATTAATTAATGCTCTTTTTGTGAATTCTCCCTTAGTATTTTATATATAAATATATATATTTGCTTTATTAAACTTAATCAGCTAATCTAAATTAATTTATTTTCGAAAGTTCATAAAGTATTTTTCTTTATAATGCTCTACTTCCATGAATATGAAATTCTACAACATCTATATACATATATATATTTACTAAATAATTATCTATTAAAAATAAAAACCTTCTCCCGTATAGCTTTTTGGTCCTTAAAAATAAATGAAAATACCTTTATCTATTTATTTATTTTTATCTAAAATCGAATAAAAATTTTTAAAATAAGCATATCTAGGTTAAATTTAGTATTTTTCTTAAATTTATTCGTTTGATAGTTTTTCGAAATTTTCTTTTTATATAAATTAATAAGCTTATAAACTATTAAACCCACTTATTCTTATTATCTTATATATTATTTTTATAATTTTTAATTTTTAATGCTTTTATATTTATTTTATTACAGAAACTCCTGCTTTTGTTTATCCAGAAGCTAAAGCGAAAATTGAATCATTAAATTTTTGTTGATTTTTGGAAATTGAAAAATATTAAACTATTATTTTATGGAACATTAAGAGTTTATTTTATTTATTTTAATAAAAGTCCAAAAATATATATATTTTTTTTATATATTAACTATAAATATAACAAAAAATATATTTTTTTGTTTTTTTGTTTTCAATAATTATCTAAAATTTATAAAAAATTTATACTTTCTTATTCGATTTATTAATAATTAATATTTTTTTCAAATTATTTATATTATACATTTAGAAAAATATCCTTATTTTCTTTCATTTTTTTAAATATTTATTATGATTAATAACCTATTTCGTTATTTTCTTAATTACAAATTAAGATTTAAGTATTAATTTTTTATTAAATTTATTAAAAGTCATAATATAAAGGAAAAAATTATTTTTCATTTAAATTTCCAAAAATCTACATTTTTTCTTCTTTTTAATTTTTCATAAAATTCTCTTCATCAAACAATCCATTTTTTTTTTTTTTTTTAAAAATAAAAAACAAAAAACAAAAAAATTAAATAAAATAATAATAAAAAAAAAAATTAAACATATATGACACATTTTTCTAATAGATTAGGCTTTTAGATAATTGTTTGTAATAGAATTAAACCTGAAATTTCTGTATTTGAAAAAGCATATAATTATTTAGAAATTTCTTATTCCTTAATAAATTCTAAAACAGTAATCAAATCATTAAAGCTGTTTTATCTTCTTTCTTTTATTCCATTTTCGAACCATTCTTTACTAATATTATATGTACCTCTTAAAATAGGAAAAACAAGTAGAGTTCCTTAATTTATTAATTAAATAAAACTTTCTAAAAGACCTTTATTATTAATTAATTATTTTTTATAAAAATATTCAATTTATTTTGTTATAACTATCTTCTGATTTAGAATTCAACATATAATTTAGATAAATCAAACATTTACTTTAATTAGAAATTTTTTTAATATTATAAAATAAATAAAAAGGAACTTTTTCACCATTTTAATTAATAGCTTCTAATCTTTTATTTATTTAAATTTAGTTGTATTTTTTTTTTAAAAAATATTTGAAGTAAAATATTATATTTTTATACTTTTCAATTTTAAAATCTTCTTAATTAAAGCCTGGATATGAAATAATATGAAAACTTTAAAGTTATCTGATGCCCATGTTATAATTCATGTAATTTTAAGGAGAAAAAAAACTCTTAAAAAATTAAATAAAAATTTAATTTATATATATAATATAAATATGTTTAATATTATATATATATAAAAAATAAATATAAGTATAAAATAAAAATATATAATTTAAATATATATATATATATATATATATATATATATATATATATTATATCTAAATATATATTTTTAATTTTTTACTTAAATAAGAAAGTTAAATGATGTAGATTCGTAATATTAATTATTTACTTAAATTATATTTAAAAAATTCTCTTTAAAAACTAAATTATGAAACTATTTTGTTTTGAAATTATAAATTTTAATGTAATCTTTCTAAAATCCTTATATAATAATACACACGTAATGTTAAAAAACTTCAAAATACTTTATATATTCATCATTTTAACATTGAAAAAATAATTAAATATTTTAAATTATTATCGGCTTTTATTTCTTTTATAATATTTGTATAAGATGTTCATTATTTTTATTATCTGGTTAATTTTCTAGATTACTTAAAAGTAAATCTTTTGCTTATTCATAAATAATCTTCCTATTTTATTAAGTAGGGCTTAACATTTTATTTTATTTATATTCAACAATATCTTTTCTTTTATTTTAAAAACAAGCCGAATAAATCTTTTTTTTTATTATTAATAAAAAATATATATTTGTTACTTTTTAAGGTTTTTAATTTATTGTTTTTCTTGTAAAAAATAATTGTTTTTCTCCAATTTTTAAGTTAACATCACTTTCCTTTTTTTTGTAATATATATATATATATATAAACAATAATTTTTTTTTTATTTACAAAAAATTTACGAAACATACTATTTTATATATAAGTTTCTTTAAAAAAAAGTTCTTTTGTATTTTCTTTGCTTTTTTCAACAAAAATAAATTTATGATTTAATTGTTTTTAAATTTTAATTTCAAATTAAGTATTTTTTTCTTCCTTAAAAATATTTTCTTATATAATATTTTCACAATTTTCAATATTAGCAATTTACAATTCATTAAAAATATTATTTTATTCATTTTTTTTGACAAAATATATGTTATTATATAAGTCAAATTAAACATATTATTAAATATTTTTAAATATGTTTTGATAAAACTTATTGTTAAATAAATCTTTTATAATTAATATATTTATATTCTCATATTCTAAAATTAAAGCAATATATTAATGTTAGAAATCGAATTAAAAATTTTAAAAATCATTTATAATACCTTCTTCAATTTTTTAAATAAAATTTTAAATTATTATATCTTGATTATTTTTTTTCAAAAAATTTAATATTTCCCTTTTCGTTATTACTTCTTCCTCATCTTCTACTTTTTATAACAAAAATGGATTAAATTTGAAATATTAGGATTTTGTCCTATATATATTTAAATTGGATTCTCCTACAAGTCTTTAATCCTAATTATAATAAATAAAACTAAAATAATATTTTTTTTATGTAAAAAAAATATTTTCGAATACTTGTTGGTATATTAAGGAACATAATTATAATTTTCCTTTTTTATAATATGAAATTAATTTTTAATATTTTTTATTGGTTGTAATTATATAAATATTGAATATTAAGTATTTTATAAGAACTATTTTATTTTAGTCAATTTGGATATTTTAAACATATTTTTTTTTTAATATATTATTTTATTTTTAATTTATTTACTTATAAACAATATAATAAATATACTTTTTATAAATTTAATTTATTAAACAAGAAATACTCTAATTTTAAAGAAATGGATTTAGTTTTTTATTCGAATCCAGATTTTTTTATATTTATAAAATAAAAATGATTAAAATCTTTTTTTTGTTTAAAAATAAAATAAAATAAAAAAAAATAACATGCACAAAAAAAAAAAAGTATGTAAAATTTAAAAAAAAAAAATTTTTTTTTTTTCTAAATAAAATAAAATAAAATAAATACAATAAAAAAAAATACAATAAAAAAAAAAGTATGTAATTAACTCAATAAATATAATACAATAAATTAACTCTCGATTTTAAAAATCCAGATGAAAACGAGGATTTTAAAAAGACTAAATTTTCCCAAAATAAAATCCTATTAATATTTATAATACTATATTAATTCACCTCTTTTTTTGTAATTAAGTTTTATTTCAAAATTGACTCATATTTAATTATCTTTTTAATCATAAACTTCTTTATATTAATCGCATTATTAACTATTTTATTTAAATTTTTTTAACAGAAATATAACTATTTTTCTATATTTCTATTTATCTAATCTAATTTATATGACATGTTCACGATTTTAATAATTAATATTATAATAGAAAATGATTCTAATCATTAAAAGCTGTATAGTAAATTTCTATGTCAATTTTATTGTATATACTAAATTCTTTAGCTTCCTTTATTCTATAACTGGTATTTTCGAGTAATAAAAATATTATTAGCCCCATCTATTTAAATAATATACTACCATGGACACAAGGAAGGTTTTATAATATTATCTTACAGTTTATTGTTGATATTAGTTTGGAATTTTTGCTATATAAACGAGTTAAATGAGAAATATATATTCCATTAAGTATTTATAGAAAAGGAGAAATTGAAATAATTCAAAAATATAATAGAGGAATATTCATAAACTTCAGAAATAATAATAAGTAAAGAAAAAGAAAATTCTTAGAATTCTTTAATTGAGCCTTTAAATTGTGAAAATATGACAAAATTGAAATTCAAATAAAATCAAAGCCAACAACTTTCTGTTTAGAAATTAAATTTTTAAATTAAAAAAATTTCATAATTTTTATAAATTTCGTATATGAATAAAAAATTTTCGGAATTTTTTTCAAATTAAAAACATGAAATTTTTAAAAAATTAAATGAGATTTTCCTAGACAAAAATATCAGTCTTTTTTAAGTTTTAAGTTATTTATTATTTAAAAAAGTGCGAAAAAATAATGAAAATCTTGAAAACTTTCTATATTAAAAATAAGTTTAATAAAATAATTTTTCTCAAATTAAATAAGAATACATGTTTTTAGAAATTTTTGATTAATAAAACTAAATGTATTATGATATTAGATTAGTTTAATTATTTTATAACTAAAAAGAATCTATTTTATTAATAATGAATGACATTAGTAGTGCTGTAATAAATAAAAGAATGAAAGACACCCAAAAAGAGATTGAAATGACACTTGCATAGGCGGCTCATGATATAAGAACACCTCTAAATTATATATAATAGATTTCTTATGAGAATAAGTCGAAAGTATTTTCTGATTTAAAAACTAATTAAGACTTCAATAATATAAATATAAACTGCTATCATTTATTGTTTTTAGTATCGGATATACTAGATTCCTAGAAAATAAAATAAAACAAATTTTCAGTAGTTTAAAGCAAATTTTAAATGAGTAAATTAATGTAAGAAATATAGGAATTATTTGATATATAAATAAAATAAAAAAATATAAAACTAGAAATATTTTTAAAAAAAGACATTTAGGTTTGTTCTGATAAAAACAGAATTAAATAGATAATCGTGAATTTATTTTCAAACGCAATAAAATTTACAAACGGAATTATTTAAATAAAAATAAATCTGTTGAAAAATAAAGACATTATCTTTTTTAGTATATAAGATAATGGATAAGGAATTCCTATATAAATTAAAAACAAGCTGTTTTCAGAATTTTCTACTTTTGATAATAAAAATGGAAATAACAAATATGGTATTATATATATATATATATATATATATATATATATATATATATATATATATATATATATATATATTTATCTTTTTATATATTATAAAAGGCGTTGGTTTAGGTCTTTTATTATGTAAAAATTTAGTATCTATATTAGGTCCTAAGAAGAAAATATATATAGAAAGTGATATACAAAAGGGTGGAACAAAATTTAGTTTTTTATTATT